ATCCTCTCGTTATCTCTACATTTTCTTAAGTTAATTATATATATCTTTAAATTACTCTATTTGAATCCCTTCTTTTCTTTTTTTAATAATTAGATGAATTGGATTTCTCTATACCTTCCCCCTGAGCATGAACAAAATTAGGGTTAAATAAATCATTCTTAATATATGAGTTCCAAAGGTGAAAATATGTTGTTGCTTTTTGATTTTTATTTGAGTACTGAATTTTGATGTGTTGTATTGTATGCATGATTTTTTTTCACGAAATTTGATAATTTTTGTTGTTGTGTATGGTTCTGATGTGTAAACCTTTATGTTACATCTCAAAAGATGGTTTTCTAGTACATAACAAGATCCTCACTGATCCCAACAAGTGGTATTAGAGAGCTCACGGTTAATTCATTTTGTACAAAGTTTGAATGTTTACGACTTAATGTGACAACTTATGTTCAAACGTAGCCATATATTGGATTATATTCGCATAAATCGGTTTTGCAGGAATTAGTTTAATCAACTGTTATGTTATGGCCGTATATATGTTTGATTTGTTGTTGATTGGTTTTTAAAGTCTCGGACATGTCGAGCAAATTTTGATGGTTGAATGTTTGTAATAATTATTCGTGGGACACCGAATAAATTTGATATTTGAGTAGACGAACATGTAAACCCGTCCGTAGGTCTAGCATCGAAATATGTAAGTTCGTAGATTATATTTTTCGTGTTGTGATCGTATGCGGATAACCGGGACATCACCGAGACCGACAATGTAAGTTTTGTCCATTCTCATTAAAAATATTACATTTAATCCTTTTTCTATAATAGTACCATGATATATACTGATAGTATTTTATTTATTTAATATGAAATGAGTATGAGACCAAGTACCTCAGATTCAAAAGCATCCAAAGTTGGTCAATTTTTTTATGATTCAAAAGCATCCAAAGTTAGGCAAATTTTTATGTGGAACTCCCCTTACTTCGCTACAACTAACTTCTATTATTCTCCAATCCAAACAAAGATAACCAAATCCTACCGCAATTAGTTTTTTTCACACAAATATAAATATCCTACTCTCTTTTCAACGCATCTAACCTATCTCACACGAAAATTACAATCACAAGCTAATAATTTGTTAGTTACAATACAACACCATTCAAATGGCATTCAGTGCTATGGTGAGCATCTCTCTTCCCATTATCATATATTTTTTCATTACATTCATTTTTCAGATGCTAACCCAATATTATGGGCCCACCAGAAACAATACACTAGGGGACTTGCCTCCTCCACCACCCCTCGGCTGGCGGCCGCCTCTGTGGGTGCCGCCCACCACCACCGGAGCGGCCATTCCGGCGGGTTTTTGAGGCGGATAGGGGCCCACGGCCCGATGGGTGTGGTTATCGGCATCATTGGTGGTATGGTGGGTTTGGCCGCGTGCATGGGAATCCACACCGCCAAGCAACAACTCCTCCACTCCCCTTCCGTGCAGGTACGCCTGTAAACGAGCCTGAAATCGAGCTCGAGCTCGGCTCGTTTATCATTAATAACAAGCCGAGTTCGAACTTTTAAAGAGATCAGAGCTGATCTGGAAGTATAACGAGTCGAACTGTAGAAAATGTCTAAAAAATTCTCTTTTCGAGCTCTAATGGGCCTTATCAAGTTGAGTTGAGCTCAGATCGTTAACCAAGCGAGCCTAAAATCGAGCTCGAGCTCGAGCTCGGCTCGTTTATCCCTGATAACAAGCCGAGTTTAAACCTTAACAAGCTAATCCCGAGCTATAACGACTCGAACTATAAAAAATTATGTGAAAATTCTTTTTTTTCGAGATTTAACGAGCCTTATCAAGCCGAGCTGAGCTCAGATCGTTAACCAAACGAGCTTCAAATGAGCTCGATTCAAGCTAGACTCGTTTAATTTAACAGGTCACCAAGAAGAGGAGGGAGTGCATCCCGGAGGTCGAATCACCCGACGATATCGTCAGCTCTGCCGACAAGTTTGTCCATAAGTCGTTCCTAAGGAAAGTCGGGCGCATTCAAGAAAGGCACGGCCACAATGTAGACGAGCATGCGCGCTATGGGCCCACTCACGGGTAAGTGTGTTTGTAATTTATTTTAGACGAGGAGGAATTCTTCATGACTTGTTTGAAGGGTTAATTTATAACCTTTTGAGTTTTGTCTTATGTTTTCATGATGATTTGCCGCAGCTCGCCAGGAGTTGAAACCTTGAAATCGGTTGGGGTCCGAACTTGAGAAGCCTAGCTAGTCGTCGGGCCACAGGTTATGTGTTATGTGCCCCTTTTTTTGTAGATACTTATGCAGTAATAAATGGCAGACTTAAGGTATATATAAATTATAATAGCTGCCTCATTCTATGTTAAAAGTGATCTAGTTTTACGTGCTGTTGTTTACCCCTCTGCATTGTAATAATACATTGCAGGAGAGAGGTCTTCATTTTTTTATTTTTTTTTTTTCCTTTTTGATCCTTCAATTTGTTTTAAATTGGTTTTTCTAATCAAGACGTGTAATTGTTTTAAATTCCCCTCTATCTGTCTGGATATGAGAAATTCTATTTGTCTTTTTCGATAGAGATCCGAAGAAGGATCACAATGATTAAAGCATTTAAAAAATATGTACGATACGACAGCGTATAAAACTGAGTGTCACACAAAACAACAAAAAACGTTAAATTTATGTATTAAGAATATAATATGTTTGAGAAAGATAATTACCACAGATCCGCTTCACTAAGCTGTCTATAAAGACTCTAACAAAGCAACTATAGTTTATTCGATCCACTGTTCAAAAGTTCCAACTGAGATCAGCACAAGATTCGATCTGCACTTAGAAAGTGTAAAGAATACATATGACTATGTTTTTTCGCTCTCCACCACTAGCTTTCAATTCAAAACATGTCATGTGAGAAAAGCAAGAAATCTGAATAATCTATCGAAATCTGAATAATCTATCAAAAGTATTCCCTTCCTAGGAGATAAACATGTATTTCCATCTCACATTTGTAATCTTACCTACAAAATATCCCCACAATGAAACAAAAGGCTTAGAAAAACATAATTTTTCAGAAAAAAAAAGGGGTAAAAATAAAAAAAGAACATAAGTTGCTGTATCTAATATACGTGAGATTATCTAAACTTACATCAACTATGAAACTGACTGAAAAAAGAAGGGAAAAACAAAAGAATAGATTCTAGCCGCTGGCAAGTACAATCGCTACTACCAGTTTTTTTTNTGAATCTGTCGGTAGTCAATCGAGTTCTGTGACATAGTTACAACAGTGGATAATCCTAAAAGAGATGAAATAAAGGGTTAGCCCTTATTCAGTATAGTTTTGTTCCATTAATTCCATTAATTATACTTTGTTTTGTGGTCCGTCCTTTGGCCGAACACAAGAACAGAGTCGCCACTAAAAGGTTGGGTGACTGTCTGATTATACTGCTGATTTCCCCAATTAACATAAAAGCTCGGGATCGTCAAATGGCATATTTAGGTCGGGAAGAACAAATTTCGCATCACTTTTTGCTTCAGAGCATGGATTTGATGTTGATGATTTTTGTGCAATGTCACTGACAGTTGATGTTACGGCTGCAGATTTCGATTCTTCATCTAAACAGGTTTGCAATTCAACCTGTATGGAAGTTGGAAGTAAATTTTTTTGGCAATACATGCAAAAATTGCAACTTGTTCAAATAAAACAGAAAATAATTTCATTTCCTTCATAAGTAAACTGGTAACATTTTCATGCATTTTTTGCTTAACAGGTAGATGCAGGACAATTAAATGTCAGGACGCTTTTTTGTATTTTTTTTGGAATTTTAATGATGTTTTATGTAAATAACACTCCTGCCAAAATAAAATCACAATAAATTGATCAGACAGGCTCCATGAGCCTGGAACCTTACACAGCTTTAGTTGTCAATAATTTCATATCTGAAACCAGAACTAAGAGGTCAACATAATCATACACGTTCGAGCTATGTTAAGACTTTAAGTTCGCTAAAGAAGACATCGTGATAGGCTCCTCAAGAAAAAGTCGCATCCATATCGTATGGCAAATATTATTCACTTTTTTCTATACACTACCAAATTAGAATCATGTTAGATAACGACACTATGGACTTATTAGTTTCTACTTTTTGGCTGCAGTATTAAACAACTAGAAAAGAAGTCTTAACAGAACCTAGCATTTTTCGCATCTTTTATGCAATATGTAAGGACGTATCTTTTTAAAAAGTTCAGGGAGGTAAAGTTGAATATATACCGACCAAAAATTTTAATGATTTCTGATTCCAATATAATGTAGTGCATCAAAGAAAAAAACAAACAAAAAAACCAGAAAAAGGTTAAGTTTAGGCATATTGTACCTTCAATCTCTTCAAATTTCCATTTGTGGCCCTTTGTCTCTCCACATACAAACGTAAGGTTGCCATTTCCTGAGAATCAAAACGGAGTTTGTTGGTAATGCTACGTTTTAGCAACTAACAATATCAGCAAAAACTTTAAGTGAAAGCAAATAGTCCAAGAATTACCCTTTTCAAATTTTTTCTTTCCTTCACCAGCGAGTTCTCTTCGATTTTGAGTTCTGCCAGTGTCTGAATGAAAACAAATATGAGCTCATCATTAAAGGGCACGAACATATATGCCAAGGTAAATGCCGCACACAATTTTTTTCAACACGATCCAAGACATTCATCAGTATATACTCTCCATGCTGGCAATCACCAAGAGTTCTTACGAATATCAACCAGAATTGTCCCCAATTTGTAGGAAAATCAACAGGGTTATTATAGATTTGCAATTATTGCAATACAGATGATCCTCCTTAGTAAAACAATATCCACGCATAAGATACAAGTCCAAGACTCCCAGAGATTACATTTTTTCACAAAAAAATGCAAATCACCTTGCACTAGTTCAAAATGGTATGATCTATTTTACTAATGAAAGTCATACGTGTATTATTAGATCGTGCAAGATACTATCACCAGCATAACCGGCATTGGTTCTCTCTTCAAAGAGCGTAACAGAAAATAACATTTATTGCAATCAACCATATAACGATCATGACACTCTTCAAAGTAGGGTCACCAGATATATTTACCTTCCTTCTTCTTGACCTCTTGGAGTCGGTTTTCTCACCATCAACGTTGACCTGCAACAGGAAAAGTAGGGCAAGAAAGCAATCAATATACGCCATTCAACATATAGCAAGAATATAGTTGANAAAAAAAAAAAAAAAGAAAAAAAGAAAGAAAAAATAACAATTGTATTTTTGAGTTTCTCTTAAATATGCCGTGGCACGATAGTTAAATTATTTTTGCATGCATCGTGTGCTAGCATTAAGGATATACCACCATATGAACGCAATACAAAAGACAACAAACTACCAATTAGCAAGAATTAATTAACTACCACAACACGAAATAACGAACATAACATCTGTACTTGGCAGTTTAAGCAGAGATGAGTAAAATAATCATACTATCCAAATATAAACCCATCTTATAAATAACCACCACCCATAAGTTTTATATTTTCGTAGACAGCTAACAACCAGTTGACTGGTCGGCATAAACGACCAAGAAAATATGCCAATGTCATTGGCTTTGGTAGAAAATTGTTGAACTTCAAAGCACTACTGTCATAAGCTAAAACAATAATAGTTTAGTGACAAGAAAAAAAGGGCCCCAAAGGCCAACCCCTCACCAACCATAACACTCAGATCCACACGATATTTTACCTTATCGACTAAAAAATATATTAAACTAAGACACAGTATATGAAGAAGACCCTTATGTGCATTAAGCTAAACTGTACATCGCTTTAGACCACAATGAGGAATAACTAACAGTTATAACCAACAATCACCTACCATAACAACCTGTATTGCATGAAAAATTGTAGCAACAATCCTTTCACCATTAAATTAAATACTCAAAAGCTTTTTTTTTCGAGCTTCTGAGTGGCAGAATTCAAAAATATAATATACATTGGAATTTTTTTGGTTTATATATGAATGGCTGCAAAATGCTGGCAGTCTCCTGATTCCACAAAGACTTTAATTTATTTTGCCATAATTCGTAGAGAAAAAACGTTGTACAGCACTCATAGGTAGCGCACAGATGGCAGCTGATGATTCGAGATAGTGATGATCAGATGGGACACCAAACTATAAAAATAAAATACATGAGGTTGCATATTAAGTAAATTGGTTCCACCACACCAAATCCCACCCCTCTCCTAATGATTTATCAATTGACCAAATTACCCCTCCTCCAAAAAATCACTCAAATTTCACGAGTAGTCAACTACCCAACCCAAAAAAAAAAAAAAAAAACCCAAAAAAAAAAAAAAAAAAGCTACCCAACCAGACTGAAAGTCTCAATTTTGACGAGAGGAGGGCTATTTGGTCATTTCAACAGGGCAGTGGAGATGAAGCATATGAAATTGGGTTGGACTGGCGTTGGCTGAAAAGCGTTGAGGAGAAAAAGAAAACGTGACAAAAGTCACTCAATCTCGTGTGACCTTCTGACCGTATAATATATGCGTTGAAAAAAGAAAAAAATCAGGATTTTTTTAACCTTCAAAATTGGGTAAATTAATAGCATCGAAGAAGGGCAAATCGGTTAACAGGTCCGGCGCCGGTTTCGGATCGGATAAATTACCGAAACGGTCATGTGTTAGGTTTTCGACCATGCAGAAGGGAATGGAGGGTATTCTCGTCCAGTAGGGAAAACGGAAAACAGCGGCGAAAAAGTCGAGAAGGTGAAAGAAAGAGTCAAGTTGAAGGCCTCTCAATGGCTGTCACCTGGGAATCTGGTCCTTCAACCAGTGGCTGGCGGTGAAAATATCCGAATACGATAGGGGTATTCTCGTCAATTTAAAGAGGGTTGAGACACGACTCGAGGATGAGAAGAGAAGAAAAGGACGCTCATCTGAGATGACAAATCCGCCGCCGCCGCCGGAAAGCTTAAAAATAATTTGCATATCCACACACACACACTGACACACACACACACACATATATGTATATATTTATATTTATATATGCAATCCGGCGCGTATGGCGTGAGGCGTGGTGGCACGAGTTTCGAGGCACAAACCTTAGATCTCGATGTGCTGGAGGGTTTGATGGGCGTCGTGCGGCTAGACTCCTCGGAGCCGGCTCCTCCGCCGCTGAAGGAGGTGGCGCCGCTCCACGAAAGGGGCGTGGTGGGGCTGCCTCGATGGCTGCGAGCCGGTTTCTTCGAATTGCTGTGTGCCGAAACGGGTTTCGATCTGCGCTGGCGGACGCTCCACCTCAGGGATAAAGGGGCCCGCTCGAGCAGAGGCGGCGGCGCGTGGTGGAGACGCACCAGGAGCTCGACGACCATCGCGTCGTCTGACATGGCGGCTTTGACCCACTCCTCGTCGGCGCCGTTCATGGCCGTTCGATTTTGAGAGAAATAGGTTAAAGGTAAAGGTAAAGGGAAGTTTGGATTTTGAAGAGATGGGGAAAAGGAAAAGGAAAGGGGGATAGATAAAAAAATGGAATGGTGGTGCAAAGTAAATGGGGGAGAAGAGGGTATGAGCAATGAATAGTTAAGTAATATATAGCAACTATAATAATAAATAGTGTAGGTATGACTTGAGTTGAGCCTCCTTTTTTTTTCCTCACTCCCCAACTAAAAAGGGCTGTGTGTGTGTTTCGTGGTTGTGTGGTATGTTGAAGTTGCTTGTAGACTACACAATTCCTTGTACGAGAACCGGCCGGTTCGGTTATGTGGATTCAAATAAGTTTATAAAATCAAAAATTATAAATTTAATAAAAGAACAAATTCCAGATAAATCTTTAATGTCATATTCATTTTTCAATTTAGTCCCTAACATCTTATTTTCTATTCAGTCCTCGTATATATAGTAATATTATTATTATTCATTTATTTTGCTTGAAAATCATAAAAATTTAGAAAAATTGTTTCAGCTCTCTCTCAATTCTCGTTTGTCTCTCTTTGAATTTCCATCGCTGTTTGTCTCTCTCTCCCTTTTTTTCCGTCGCCGTTCATCTCTCACTCTCTGAATTCTATTGCCGTTCGTCTATTCTCTTTTTCTCCATCGACGTTCGTCTCTCTCTCTCTCTCTCTCTGAGAAGCTTGTCCTCTGTCTCTCGCCATCATATATAATGGCGGGCTCGAAAAAAAAAAAATGCACATCCGATAAACTGTCCTCCTCTACCATGGTGGGCTTGAAGCACAGTATTTCGTGTCTCACTCTGTTTTGCTCTTTCATTCGTCTTTAACATATGTTTTGTAATTTAACTCATTCAAATTGCTGACCATAAAGATTAAACATCTAGCAAGTGTTGTATCAAAAAAAGCTTAGATAAGTCTTGAACTTGCAACTCAAAGAGTATCTTCCAAATTCCGACTACTTGATGCTTTTCCGTAGTAAGCGCGCAAACGAGTTTCAAATTTCGGCTATGTGTTTGTTGCCACCTGTCCAGGACAAGCATTCTAGGCATGGCCTTCATGTGATGATTGAGAAAAGGAAGGAGCTGATTAAGTACTTACGTAAAGAAACGGATTGAAATTGAAATTGAAATTGAAATATACTTTTTCTATCTGATAACAAAATGTTCTTATAATTAAAGTATATTGCAATTCTTCAATTAATAAAAGAAAATATATTATATATAGTTAAAAATGATAAAGGAAGCATTCTTTTTATTTAATTTCCCCTGGAAATTAACTATCTTTCTTATAAAAAAAGCTACAGCATGTAGCGCCCATACGTATGAGTTACGGTGCAGTGTAGTGCAAAACGGGGTGAATTGAAAAACTCGGCTAACTGAAATTGTGAAATTCGAACTTCAGTACTTCAACATGTTAAAAAGAGGAAATTGAAACCAAATTAAAAATCTTCTACATTGAAAATTACTAAATTGATACGTACCGAATTGTATACGATTCACCAATAGTTTTTTTTTTTTCGCAATACACAAAAAAATATACGAAAAACTAAACTGAATTTCTATTATAATAATTGAATCGAAACGCACAAAATTATACAATTCGACTTGAATTCGATCATGTATATGAGGACACAATCCACATACGAATATTTTATCCTTCAAACTGTTGAACAAGACACTATTATTGTGTTACATGTCCAACTACCTTGATGTGTGATTTACTATAGTCATATCACACGGTCATGTGTGGTAAACCTAACTTATAAGCAAGATTATATTATACCTTTTAATAAGTAAATTTCAAGCTTTTAGATGATAGTTTATAACTTATGGTTGAAAAACTAGTTTATATGATAAAAGTGTTTGATAAAATTAGCTGATAAACTAGCTGAAATAAAATTTTCAATAGACTTACTTGAAAAACTACTCAAAGAACCTTATGTGATAAGCTTGAGTTTTTTAAAAAACTCGTATTACCAAATCGGACTTATTTGAATACACGAAATTTATAAACTAACCACATAAATTATAAGTCAGCTTAATAATAATGTCTACCAAACACATCCATCATAAATTAGTTCTCTTGTCTTCAGAAATTAAACATTCAACCCATTAAGCGAATAACAAAAATGTTGTCGGAACATTTTTAAAGTTTACCATCACCTCATTTAGAACCTTTTATTCTCATTTTCGTCAACATAAAATTTTAAGTTTACTCTCACTAAAAGATAAATGAACTAAAGAGAAATTATTAAAAAACAAAAAACAAAAGGAACACTCCATGATTAAATATGAACACAATTTGTACCAAGAAAAATAAATAAATAAATAAAATATGAACACAATTTCTTGTGTTCAATCAGACAAGTTGACCTATCATATTTTGTTATAAAAATACATATTTATATTATCAAATGTCATACATCTATTATGTTGTTTTTTAAAAATTGTCATTTTCTAATAAAAGTATGTATATGTGATCTTAGACGTGGCCAGAATCCGATTCCGGGTCGCTTGCTAGAAGACCCTGAACCGGCCCCACTATATGTACGAGCCGCGGTTCATGCGCAGTTTCGGGCCTATTTTTTGAGTTTTTTTGTCTTTTCA